TTAGCCCCCCGTCTCTCCGGGCCGCGGCGCGGCGGGGGGGGGGGGGGGCGCGCCCCGCGGCGCGCCCGGATTTTCTCTCTCTTTTAACAAAATCAATGTCTTCATAAAAGCTTGATTCGGGTGAGAAAACCGAGGGTTACCTTCGTAAAGATTAGGTAGATATAGATATATCTAGCCAGCTAGCTATCTGGATAGCACGAAAAAAATACAACACTGTCTTGAGAAAAAAAAAAAAGAAAAAAAATCTCGGCCATGATGGCATCGTACTTTTTTGCGCTTTTTGTCGCCATATCATGAGGTAGATGCGCGTCGCGCGGATCCCTGAGGACGTCTGTGTTGGTACCGTAGAGTCTGCGGTGGTCATCGTTATTTGATGAGGAAAGAGAGGGAGGAGGAGGAGGAGGAAGTAAAATAGTATTCCAAGCGGCCGACTTCTTCGGCATTTTCCAGTCATTTCGTCCAAGTAAATGGTTCCTTACGGATACAAACATTTGGCGTCTTGAAGGAGTTCTAGAAAGCGAGGGGATCAAGGCGGAGTCGAGACGGGATCGTTCCCATGGTAGACCGAGCTCGTCGAATGTTATGACTTTGGTGGAATCGTGGCGCGAGGGACGCGGCTATTTTCTGGCCGAAGAGAATCATAACCGTGGCGATGAAGCTCTTGCTCTTGCTTTTGGGTTTGTGGTGTTTGGGTCCGCGGTAACGGGGATGGAGGCCGTGATCGACAGGTGGAGATGAATTGGCAAAGATATGAAGTTGTGGAGAGAAAGTTGGAAGTTCAGGTGGTTCTCCTAGAAACTCGTCGTGATTATGAAGTTGGAGGTGAATGCATAGGCAGGTCATAAGACGACTCTGATGGAGAGTCACGCTCAGCGAATGGAGACAGTTCGGACAAATCCTCATCATCTACCTCGGCAATCATAAGAAACCTCTCTCCCTGAGAGATCATCATCCAACTCCAGCAAGTACCCTTACCTCAGTAAAGTCCTTGACGGAATACTTTTGGCATTTCATAACTTACCTACACTATACACTGATCACCAGACCAGACCAAAACCAAAACCAAGAAGACCGATCAATCGATGAAATGCACCCCCGCATGTCTGGAGATAGAGAAAATCCAACCGGAATCGTTCGACTTCCTGTCCTCATGGGAAAGCGGAGGAGTTTCTTACATGCATGCTACCGTTGGATTGACTATCTAGGTATGGACCCGGAATAGTCGGCACTCGCTTCCCCCCCACGAATCTCGTCGTCGAGCCATGATAGTAGTATCAAGCAAACTGGATGCTGTATAAATAATTACCACTACCCAATTTTCGGAATCCATAAAGTACAAAGTACAAAGCCACACGCCGCCCATCCTCTATCTAATCCTTACCCAACCCAACCCTTGAGTTTGAACCCACCGGTGCATTGCAGGTCTGTCTACTAATTATACAGTATCATCTTATATTATTCCATGTCATTCAATATCGTCGAGGGGTTTCCATTCAAAAAAAAGTCTACTAACTGAAGGATATGAACGACGGATCTCTCCCAGGCCAAACATTCACAGCGGTCAGTAAATTAATTTTTTTGGAACTATCTTTGATCTCGCGGTTCAAGCCTCCGTTCTTCGAGGATATATACGAGGAGTGGAAGCGGAAGCGGAACTCGGCTGCACGAATGAAAGAGGGAGAGAGAGAGAGAGAGAGGGAGAGGGAGAGAGAGAGGGAGAGAGAGAGAGAAAGATTCGTGGTGGTGGTATTGGGCATCGTGTGAAAGTCGATTAAATGAAGGAGACGTAGAGGGCCATTTGGAGTTAACATGGAAAGTAAGTGATTTGTCAAGCCGAGTGAGACAATCCCGCTTCGATGGAGATAGATAAATAAATTCATCTATTTCTATTTCTTTTTTTTTTCTTTTCTTGTCTGTCTCTCTTCAGACTAGCGTCGTCATTCGTTGGACTCGTCGTAGATTCAGTAGATTCAGTGGATTCATCATGTCGCCGGCCTTCTCGGCTGTGATTCGTGTAGAGTGATGCGGCATTGGTGAACAATGAAAGTGTCGGTCTCACAGATCTCGGTTGTGTTGCCAGTAACAAAGGACGACGACGACGACGACTCAGAGATTTCGGGATCGGAAGACCCAACCGAGAGGAAGTGGTGAACCGTTCCGAGGGGAAAAAGATCCCAGGTCAGATGTTTGGTGGCGCCCGAGATGGGGGGGAGGGGGGATTCACAAGCGTAACGGCCACGAATGCGTGGCGATCGATGATGGTGGTAAAGTTTGTAAGTTTGTATGAATTCTATCACGGATGTCCAGCATCTAATTAGATAGACTTGATACTATCTAGTAGTAGTCGATAAAAAATAAATAAATAAATAAAATAAAAAAAAACAGACATCATGAAAAGGGAATAAAAATCAACCTTGGTCTAATTAAGTAGTAAACAAACCTCTCCCCCCGAACGCCAAAGCTCTAAAAAAACAACAACAACATCGCTAAACCTTCAGGAGATATAAAAAAAAACCCAAAAAAACCAAAACCAAAAAAATCAATGCTGAAAACTGTGAAATCACAACGAAGCCGTCATCCTCCCTCTATCACCCACAGCAGCACTGACCTCTTCCGTCCTCAACTTCATATCCCTAACCAGTTTCGCCCACGCCACGGCGCCCCGACTCGCCAGCTCCATGGGCACCACGGCATCCGTATCCGCCATGCGTCTATTGAACAGCTCCATGCTCACCCAGCCCTCGAAGCCGAGGCCGTGGAATATGGCCCGCGAGATCTCCGCGACGGGCAAGTACGCGCCGCGGTCCTTCTCGCCGTAGAAGAGCCGGCAGTTCCTCGACCAGCTCATGCGCGGCGGCTGCGTCGCCTCGTAGAACCGGTGGCCCTCGACCAAGGGCGCGGCCAGCCTTTCGGCGTCGACGACCTGCACGTAGAAGAGCTTGTCGACATCGACGGTCGACACGAGGCGGGACACGCAGTCGCGCACCGCCTCGTCGCAATCCACCGTCCGGCCCGTAGATGAAGTGGGATCGGCGTAGATGCGGCCGGCGATGTTGAAGGTGTCGAGACAGAGGCCGAAATTCGACCGGTCTACGCCCTTGACGATCTCCCAGCTCTGCTCCCACGTGTCGAACCTCGTGCCCCAGCACAGCGACTCATAGGTGAAGCGAATGGGCGGGTTCTGCTGGAGTCCCATGTCCGCGATCTTCCGAAGATCCGAGATGGCCAGGTCCATGCTCTCGGACAGCTCTTCGGCAGGCCCGAAGCTGGACGGGATCTGGATGATGTCCGTCTGCAAGGCGTGGGCGAGGCGGAACCAGAAGCGCAGCTGCTCTAGCCGCTTCACGTGCTGTTGGCGGTCGAGGAGGCCCTCGTAGTGTGAAAAGGGCTGGAGGCAGAGGACGGTGATGCCCCTCTCGTGGCAGAGCCGACGGATGATGTGGGCGGCCTCCAGCTCGTTGTCGGGCGTGTCACCGCCCGGGAGGCGTTGGGCGATGTCGATGAGGTCTTCGAAGAAGAGTTCGAGACCCTTGTAGCCGTAGAGACAGGCCATGTCGACCTTGTGGACGAAGGAATGGCCGGCGAAGCAGCGCCCGAGGGACATGGACGTGATTGCTAGACGGCTCGGCATGTTGTTTCTTTTTTTTTTTTTGTTCTTTTTCTTTTTTTCTTTTTTTTTTTTCTTTTTTTTTCTTCTTTTCTTTTTCGAAATGAGATCGAGGGGAAGGATTCGGAAGACTAAACGAAAACTAGGATCTCGGTATTTGGGGGGAAAAAAGGAAGAAGAAGTGACCACGGAGGTTTACTTAGGAGGCTAAAGAGACTAAAGAATAGAAAGTCGATGGAATGAAGTCCAGGGGTAAGATAGTGTAGAAGCGAAAACGACGACGACTAAGTAGACTATATAGCCAATTGACTAGTTTGGAGCACGAGCCATTATATGACCTTGGTTTTTTTTATTTTTTTTATATTTTTATTTTTATTTCTTTTACACGTGCCCTTGGGAAATCCAAGCCATGACAATGTGTTTTGTCTTGTCTTATCAGGCTTGGTTGTGTTATGTGGATTGGGTAGAATACGTGATATAAGAGGGAACCCGTGAATAATAATAATGGGGAAAAAAGATCCGCAAACGAAAGACAGAAAACAAACACTTTCTCTCTCTCTCTCTCTCTCTCTCGATTCGAGTCCCGTTGAAAAATAATCCAAAAAAGGATTCGGCTTCCTGCAGTCTAAACGCGGCTGAGTTCTTCCCGTTCGTTACCTTTTCTTTTGTCTTGTTTTGTTTCGTTTTTTATTTATGGTATCCAAGTAAGTTAAGCAATGTCTAGTTTTCTAGATCTGTCTGTCCGTCGGCCCCTTGCGAACGGGCGATACCCGAGTATATGGCAAATACCTATCTAGTAATGTATCTAACTACCTACTTATTCACGACCCGTTCGGCTACTTACTTACTCGCTAGGGACAAGTTCTCTAGCCATCCCTGGATGGTACATTCATTCATTTATTTATTTATTCATTTATTCACGAAAAGAGTAGCTGTAAGAGTAGCTGTAAAAGTAGCTGTACCTACGGCAATACCTAGATTAGCGACAACACTACCCATAGACTACCCATCGACTACCCATCGACTAATGAAAATCACCGGGTCTCCATGAACATGGTTGCAGTTGTGGTCAAGTATCCAGAGAAGTATACTAGGTTATACTATACCCATCGTACACGTACACGTACTTGCGCTGAATAGGAGTCTCAAGATGGTGTAAGTCAGTATTATTATTATTATTATTATATATTGGACTTTTAGCCGCACTTCCACAATGTCGTACACTCCACGACGCAAATGTAGATAATATTCATCGCATGGTTTGCTGTAG